CTAAAGTGCATCTGACTGCGTTTGATACAGGCCATGGTCTTTGCAATCACTTGTTATGCATCAGAGAGTTGAACAATGACTAGGGAGGATAGAAGAATTGATGCCTTTGAGCAGTGGTGCTGGAGAAGAGTATTGAATGTACCATGGACTGCCAAGAAAACAAACAGATTCACCCTGCAGAGGGTTAAACCAGGCTACTCCTTCGATGCAAGGATTCTGGGGCTTTGTCTGACATACTTTGGACATGTTGTAAGGAGGGACAGGTCCTTGGAGAGGAACATCATGCTTGGGAGGGTGGAGGGACAGCGCAGGAGGGGAAGACCCTCTATGAGGTGGATTGATTCAGTGACAGGGTAATTGGGATGGATGTGTCAGAGGCAGTGCAATTGGCACAGGATAGAGCAGGATTTAGGGCTTTTGTACATAGGGTTGCTATGAGTTGCAAACGAGGGCACATAACAACAACAACAACACAGGCTGCCTAATGGTAACTTACAGAGGTCATACAAGAGCTGCTGTCAACAAATAGAGTATGGTTTGCATTAGGGATGGACTGGTCAGATAGGCAGTGAAGTAAAGAATCTATGTCTTCAAGGACTTCAGGGCAACTACGGCCATAGTAAGGTGAAGGTGTTTACTGGAAGCAGGGTGGCTGGGTTGGGTTGAAGGATGGTGATTGAGAAAAGTTAATATTAATATTTTTGAGAAAAAGTAGATAGAGCTTCTGTATCTGCTGGGGGGGGTAGTGTTGGGGACGTAAAGATAGGAAGTGGTGGGAAAGCAGGTCATGGGATAGCAGGTCTCGAAGTCTATGACTAGACAAGACTTGCAGATGGCTTCTCAGGGTGAGTTTAAGCACCTCTTTAGTGAGGAAAGTTGATGCTGCTAGGGATCGTATGCAGGGTTGCCATCCTTGGGTGGTGACATCAAACTGCTTAGAGAGGAAGGCAATGGGGGTACAGATGAGTCCAAGAGGGTAAGCCAAGACAATACCTTGTTTTTCATCAGTGTATAGATGGAAAGATTTAGATGATTTTGGCAATATGAGGGGTGGGGACTGTAAGAGA